GGGGGACAAATACCAGACGCCCTAGTTGGAGCTTCACATACCCGGGCAGCCCGGCGGGGCGGGGCGACCGATCTTCAAGACCAAAGCAATAAGACCATGGTGGGGCTCATCGGCTGCTCTCCCCGCAGCAGCCGGGACGCTTGGCCATGTCCTGGCGCAGCGCGAGTTCGGTGGGGAGGCGACTGGTGGCGAGCGGGAGCAGCTTGGCTTGGCGGCGCAGCGCGGCTGGAGCTGCGGGCTCGGGGTACGCGGAGGGGTGGGCTTGCGTGGCCCGTGGGACCCTGCGGTAGTGTTAGTGTGGACCTTCCCCGGGAGCCCGAGCCGGATTTGGGGGACAAATACCAGACGCCCTAGTTGGAGCTTCACATACCCAGCTTTAGCTCAGTGTACACCCGGGCGATCATGAACAGGTCTTCCCTGCTGTGGGAATTTATTTACCCAGTCGCTCTTGTTTTGATGCTACCTCTTGGCTGTCCTGTCGCAGGAAGTGAACATGACTGTTGCTTCTTAATGGCCAAGGTTTTGCAGCTAGTAACTCTGGATCCTGTAGATGTGGTTTCTGACTTGATGGCAGTGTTACTTTCCTGGGCTTTCCCCCTTGGCATACCCTGGCCTGACACACCAGCTGTGTCAGGTTTGGCCTAGGCCGATGTCAAGACATCTCAGTACCGGCTAATGCGCTTCCATTCCTCCACTGTCTTCCAGAGACTTCCCTCTGAAAGCGCCAATCGCGTGACGTTAAGTTGTTGACAGGTCCTTAGAACTATTTCCTATTGGATATATCGGGGTATATCCTGCTTTACCCATCTACCACCTCTTAGTAGGTGTTCCATAAACGGAGCATGACGAGTTAGTTGGTGCTGGACCAGTATTGAGGCAAAGTGTTTATTTTGCATTTACTCGGTGCCTGCCCCATTCTTTAATAGGACAACTAGAAACTGATAGGACTGCCTCAAGAAAGATAGGGGTACCTTTTTGGAACTTTTTCTCCGGCAGGGAAGGGAGTAATACTTCAGAATATGCTTGCTTGGCCCTGTCATTTTCTTAGAAAAGTTCATTTGCTGTAAACGCTGCCTAGGTTTGAGGAGGAGGCAAATGCTAGATTAGAGATGAAAACAAAACAAAACAAAAGCTGTTTTTCAAGGTTGAAAACCCCAAATAGACTGGATTTGATGCCATCCAGAGCTCTTCCGGGCCAAGGCCATCTATTTTCCCTACTGCTTTGGACTTAAGAAACCCAGCCAGCTTTTTCTTTTTCTTTTCTTTTTCTCAATGGTGCCTCCTCCAAACAGGACAGTCTTTCTGAGCCCCTCGCTTGCTCCTACCTTCTCTCTATCTGGTGTAGGCACACGCATGCTTTTGTTTTCGAGGTTTCCTTGTCAACCTGTTGGGGATCAATGAGAAACGCGCGTTTAGTTGCAGTGATTTTTGTCTCTAACTCATCTTTGTTATAATGGGACATGATGCTTGTTGCAACTTATTTGAAGTTATCCAGAATGACTGTGCAGAGCAGAAATTCATCGTCCAGGGGCCCCATGCATGGGAAAAGAGCATTTAATGGAGTTCACTCAAACACAGAACTATGATTTAAGAAATGCTTTGGTTGGCTGGAGAGATGGCTTAGAGGTTAAGAGCATAGTCTGCTCTTCCAAAGGTCCTGAGTTCAATTCCCAGCAACCACATGGTGACTCACAACCACCTGTAATGGGGTCTGGTGCCCTCTTCTGGCCTGCAGACATACATACAGACAGAATATTGTATACATAATAAATAAATATAAAATAAAATAAAATCGTAAAAAAAAGAAATGCTTTAGTTGACTGGGGCCTTTAATTTTTAAATTTAAAATACCTACTTTTATACTTAAACATGATTAAAGTTTCTATAAATATATCCACAAGGAATGAATTGCTTTTGTGAAAGGAGACATTTTTCTTTAATCCTAAGTATATTTTAAAGCTGGGCATGGTGATGCAGACCTTTAATTGGGAGGCAGAGGCACGAGGATCTCTGAGTTCCAAGTCAGCATGGTCTACATGGAGAGACCCTATCTCAAAACAAAAAACAAAAACTCCCAAAACAAACAACAAACAAAAATCTTACAACAAAAAAATATTTTAAAAAACCATTTGTAGCCATGTGTGGTGACACACATCTTTAACCCTAGCACTTGGAAGGCAGAGGTCAGTGGATCTCTGTGTTCAAAGCCAGCCTGGTCTACAAAGCAAGTTCCAGGACAGCTAGGGGGTACCCAGAGAAACCTTATCTCAAAAAACAAACAAAAAGATATTAGAAATCTTTAAATTCTGTATCTCACCCTAACTCCTTAGATATTTGAGCAGTTCTCCTTTGCAGCACCTGCCTAATGAATGTTTTTGAGAGGTTAGTAGTTTACATTATGTCTAATTTGCTCCAGGAGTGTGGTCAGATCTTGCTAACTGATCAAGAAAAATGAGTGAATGGGGGAGATTCTAGACTCCGTGGAAAGACTTGATGATGATTGTCCATCCATCCATCCATCCACCCGTCCGCCCGCCCATCCATCCATCCATCCATCCATCCATCCATCCATCCATCCATCCATCCATCCATCCATCCATCTTCCATCTCTGTCTACCTACCTATCTACCCATCCACCTGTCTATCTGTTTGAGACCGGGTCTCTTTCCATGATCCTGGCTGTTCTGGAACTCACCGTGTCCAGGCAGGCCTCCACTCACAGAGCTCCACTGCTTCTGCGTTCCAAGTGCTGGGATCAAAGGTGTACGCCACCACACCTGACTCAAGTACTTCTTTTTTTCAGCTCTAGGTTTTGGATAACAAATGCTGAGGTAATGTGGGTCCCCATATTCAGGAATAAATAATCATGTCAAATATTATTGACATTTACTGTGTGTAAGATATGGTTCTGCTCTCTGTATATATATATCAGCTCATTTAATCTCCACAACCCCCTTTAAGTGGGAGTCATCATTTTTCCTACTTGGTGGATGGAAAAACTGGGAACTATAGGATTAATGCATTGAAAACCTTTATTCCCTTAGTCTTTGTAGGCTATTTGCTTCACAGTGTCCACGAAGGTTTTGTATATTTAAAAGTTATTGTTTTATTTTTACGTATGTGTGTTTATATGAGTGTATGATGCAGCTGTGCATGCTTGAAGAGACCAGAAGCGGGCGTCAGATCTCTTAAAGCTAGATTTCCAGCTTGTTGGTTATGAGCAAGGTGGATATGGTTTCTGGGAACTGAAGTTGGGTCTTCTGCAAGAGCAACGAATGCTCTTAATTGCTGAGTCATCTCTCCAGGTCCTGCCCAACCCCACACCATTTTGTATGTTTTCAGAAGAAATTCAAAACACATTTTATTGCCAGCCATCAGGTCTTCATTAGGGCAGAGTATCTGGTTTTTAGTGATTATGAATTTACTTATGAATAAGACTGTATTCAACTTTTGACGTAGAGATTGGTTTTATCAGGTAAAATTTATTGAAAGGCTGCTTAGATAAGCAACGGTTCCTGTTGGTGTTAGCAGACAAATACTTTATTTGGTGCGGATGCAGCTTTTTCCTGCTGTGTGTATTTGGATATCCTTGTATTGAAGGTTGTCTTCCATTGGAACCAAGGGGGCACCTCACTCGCTGAGCTGGTCTTTTCCTTTGTTTTAGGATGGGAAACGGCACGTCCTCATCTGTAGGGAAGTCAGCATCTACGCCTGTGAACCAGATCCAAGTGAGTGATGGGGGCGATGGAGGGAGAAGAACTGTCTCACACACTTAACACACTAACTCTGTGTCAAGGCTTGATCTAGTTTGGGAAATAATTACTAAATTCATATTTATTTTAAAAATTGCAATCAAAATTATCCTTATGACAAGTCCTAGGTCATTTTTTTTTCTTAAAATTTCTGGTTTCTTCTTTCCTCTTGTGTGAGAATGTGGTTTATGTGTGTGTGCTATGCACATGCCTGTATGCATGTGTGGAGGCCAGAGCAGGGATGTCTAATATCCTGTTCTAGCGTTATCTGCCGCTGCCTTATTCCTTTGAGATCGCCTCTCTCACCGAATGTGGAGTTAGGCTGGTGGTCATTAGCCTAACTAGTTAGGGGTCAAGAGCCCCACCCAGCAATTCTGTCTCTGTCTTCCCTCTCACCCCCACCTCCCATGCTGGGACTCCAGGGCTGTATGCGGCCACTGATGGCTCTTCTCATGCATGCTGGGATCTGAACTCAGGTCCTCATGACTGTGCAGGGAGCACTCTTACCTACAGAGCCGTCTTTCTAAACCTTCGCCCCTGACATTTTCGTACCAACAGTTCTGGAGAGTGAATCTAGGCTGTCCTGAACTCTCAGACAAATTTCTACGATCAAGCTTCCTCTCTCTTCATCATGTCACTTCTGTTGATGAGCGTCTTCCTGAGTTGCCTCGGCTAGCTGTGTCAACTGTTCTAACTCAGACTACTTTTGAACTTGCAGTGTTGCCTCGACTTCCACATAGCTAGCTGGTATTACAGGTCTGTCATGTCCGGCCTGGATGAAATTTCTTCTTCTTCTTTTTTTTTAAGTTTCCATTTTATTTTACGCAAAAATATATTTAATAGCTTGTCATATAAAATGAAACATAAAATGTTATCAGTAAGACAAAATCACTTCTAATGGAGTGCTTATATGTAGGAAAACTAAAGTCCGTTCATATTCGCAACACTTGCAAGCACAGCTGAAAAGCTATGAAACGTATATCATTTTAGATTTACAGCTGGAGGTTCCATAAATTTATCTTAATCAAGTGTTCGGTGCTAATTATGAAGAACTGTTAAGTCAAAAGCAACAACAATGGTAGGGAATGACCTGTTTCTATACCTTTACAACAAATACTTCTCTAAGATAGTAAAGGCAATATAAAATTTACTTAAGCGACCAAGATTTCTTACTGAATCCCTGATTGTCATTTTTGGCAACTTAGTCCAGCCTGGTGCAAGGTAGTGTGCTGTGTGGTTAGGAGGTCTGCGCTGTGTCTCATCGGAGCCTTGCTAACTGGAGGTATGTGCTCCGGCTCCTAGTAAGTAAGGAAACACTATTGGCAACAGTTGCCCACCTTCCCCATGTAGCCTAAGACCTTGTGTTTAAATGTATCTCTGAAAGGCTCTATCACCCTTTCAAAGGTGTTCCTTCTATTAGGGAGGAAGGGGAGTAGATGACCACATACATCATATATAAGTTCATCTCCATAAAGTTTCCAAGTCCCATTTTGTATTTTGAACTACACCCATGGTAATGGTCAGATCATCAGATCATCAGTCTTTCATTCCAGAAAAGACTTCACACTGCAGTAAGCAACCTTTCAAAAATGTGCTTGCGCCTTCTTCCTCTTTCTGAAATTCATTTATTCTTAATGAAATCCATCTCTGAGGTTGAAATTTTTATTTATTTTTCATCATGCCCGCTCTAAGACTGTTGATACCTAAGAGTCAGCGGTTCAGAGCCAGGGTTGTTGTGTGGTTTTGGCATGGGCAGCTGTTTAACGGCTTTCTGCCCTAACACAGAACCTACTGAGCAATAATTACCCATAAAATTATTCTCTAAGGGACACTATACATGATTATAGTCTCTTGTTTCTTTCTTTTGCTGCCAGTCTTAATTAATTCTGCCTCAGGAAATCTGTGTTAAGCTGGATGTGGTGCCACCACTTGCCTGTCATCCTAGGACTTGGGAAGCTGAAGCAAGAGGAGAGAAAATTCCAGGCACCTTTAGACCATACATCTGAGATCCCTCTTTCTAAGCAAAATGAAAACAAAAACAAAGCCCACAGAATTCCTCCTAGATATCTTTTTTTTCTTTTCTTCAAGCCCATGAGGCATATCTTTTTTTGTCTTCCTCATTATCTTCTACATGTATTTTGTTACTGCTTTCGACTGAGTGTGCAGCTCAGTGGTTGGGCAAGAGCCTAGCATGTATATATGAGGTCCTGGGCTTTGTGCCCCAGCAGCGCATAGAATGAATCTGAGTTTGTCTTAGTTAACCTCACTGTCTTTTGAATACAGCAGCAATGTGAGAAACTTCTTGTGCGAGATATTCTCTATTTTAAAATACAAAGACAGCACCCTGAAACATTCAGTAAGGATGAGCTTGAACGAAAATGCGGAGTGTTTGCGAGACCCCTGGCACTATCATCTTGAGGTCCACTCACTTTGGAATCTCTTTCTTAGGGCTTCTGTGCCACGGGAGCACTCAGCGTGCTCATTGCTTCAAGTCTAAATGAGAGGCTCAGTGTGCCTCTAGCCTAAATAGCATGGTAGAAGGAAGATTACTGGCTTTGGGTGTGATGTGGAGTTTGAGGAAAGTACAAGGACCCTCTCAGCCTCAGTTTTGTTATCTGTAAAACTGATTCATCAGGGCAGAATACTGTCTGGTGTGGTTCATTTTCCTGTGACAGAATTTTAAATACTTAGTAAGCAGGAGAAAGAACATAAAGTGGACCAACCTGCCCACATCTAGGAGATGATACAGGAGCCCTTGACCCCTCAGGGTGCCTATAAGTTCTGAAGCACTTTGTCTGGGCGTTGCACTTTGTGTCTTTGTCTTCATCTTGAAGTTCCTGATTATGCTTTGCCATGTAAGAACCACCCAGACAGGTGCTCAGGAGCCAGACTTGTCCATTGAAAACCTGTGTGGATACCAGTGCTGTCTGCTGAACTTGTCGAAAGGACTTGGACATCCAGATAAAGAACATCAGAAAACTTCATAGGCTCTGCAGACACATCCCAAAGCCCAGGCACTGAAGGCCTGGAGAACACTGCAACCCAGGCTGTTATCACAGTCACTTTGAAAATTGCTTATGATTTCAGCTTCAAACCAGCGAACAAGCTCTTCTGGAAGTACCTTTTCCAGGATCAGCTGGAAGGCATAGTGTACATAGTTTACGTCTTTTACTGGACAGAAACGGGGAAGTGAGCAACATGTTGTTCACACCTGGGGATGCTGTGCGTTTTAAGGAGAACGGACACATTCTGAAAGTCATCAGCAGTAAGCAGCAAACACCTCTTAAACATTTGAGAAGTATGACATAGATTAAGTACCTGGACTCTAGGGCTGGATTTACCTGGACTCATTTGTTTATTGATCGAGGACAGCTGTTACTTACCTGTCTTCCCCTATGCCTCAGTTTCTTCCCCTGTGCAGTTTAAATAACACAGCATGGACCTACATTAAGATTACAGTGAAGTTGAAATGACCGTATGACATCGGGAATATGCAGGAGTGTTTGCTGCATAAGAATTGGTTCTCACTGGTATTTGTTCTTGATACTACTCTCAGGCACGGTTTGGATACATTTTTGTTTCTAACGGCCAGCTTTTGGAATAAATAATATCCGCAGGTATTATTATAATATCTAGTAATATTATAATAGATACCATAGAGAGATGATAGGAACTTAGTTGGAGCACAGAGTTGTGCTCTGCACTCCAAAATCAAATTCCTTCCACTACTTATGATTTCATTACAAAAGGCAATATCTAAGATGAGAATGTTTTACTTCTTTTTCCTTTCAGGAAACAATCTCTCACAATTGTGTGGTGATTTTCTCAAAAACATCCTGTTCCTACTGTTCAATGGCCAAAAAGATTTTCCACGACATGAATGTCAACTATAAAGCTGTAGAATTGGATATGCTGGAATATGGTAACCAGTTTCAAGATGCCCTCCATAAGATGACTGGAGAAAGAACTGTGAGTGTGCCCTCCGCCCTGCTGCTCCTTGCAGTGAGCTGGTGGCATGCCAGTCCCTGGACACTAGACTTTCCTGCTAGAAAAAGCAAACCTGGCATTTCTGTGGATCTCACGTTGATAAAGAAATGGTAGATGTACAAAGAAACCAGGCTCATAGAATAGGAAATGGCATAGTTCATTTTAACTTTTATGTTTACCGTGTGTGTGTGTGTGTGTGTGTGTGTGTGTGAGAGAGAGAGAGAGAGAGAGAGAGAGAGAGAGAGGGAGGATGGGGGATGGATGGATGAGGTACCTAATGGTGTCATGAGTGCATGTCTGTGGAATATTAAGGTCCTTCTGGAGGTCTTTGCAAGGTAAAATCATCCTTCCCCTCTTGGACAGAACAGACTGCTATCAGTTTCCGACCTCCTGTGCTTATCTGTGCTTAGTACTCATTGTTCTAGCCTCTGGGAGTTTTTATCTTTTCATGATATGAATAGTCAGAAAAATATTCATTGTTGCTACTATCCTTGTTTAAAGGCTTGTAGAAGACATTGGTAAACATGTAGAAAGGAACCATTCGAACATTATTAATACTTAACTAGCTTTGCCTCCATCGCTCCCTCCTCCCTTTCTGCTCAAGGACAGTTTTATTAGAGTTTAAAAGACAAACTCCTGGGTCAGACATGCTGAAAACCTCAGTAGTTGCCTGAAGGAGAAGAACAGAGGAGTAAAGGAAACAAAGCCACGTTGTTTAAGCCAGCACAGAGGTCAGACACATGGGAGACAAGCAGCCATAGGTGGGAAAGGAGGGAAGCCCAAAGTGTCAGAAGAAAGTGTACTTAGGATCAGGCCTAAAGAAAGAGACAGAAAAAAGAAAAGTTGAGCCTTTCTCAAGCCCCCGAAGTCAGGCAGACCCCGCTGAACCTCATGGTGGTTCATAGCGCCTGTCTTATTTTGTGTTTTAAAATTAATGTGGTGAGTAGAAGGAAGGGCTTTAGAATTAGATTGTTGTGGATTTAAACCTGACCTCTTTTACTATTGTGACTTTGGGCAAATTACTTTTCCTTATTTCTCTCCAAACTTGAACTGGTTCTGACCCTTATGATTAGGCCTCATTTAATTTTTGCTTATTCAACAGGTTCCAAGAATATTTGTCAACGGAACATTTATCGGAGGTGCAATGGACACTCACAGGCTTCACAAAGAAGGGAAATTGCTGCCACTGGTTCATCAATGTAATTTAAAAAAAAAGCAAGAAGAAAGAAGTTGAATGACTCGGTCGCTGTAGCCAGTAAAGTGTTAGTTAATGCAATCCCACACTTTAATTGTTTGAGGATGTTTTAATTGAGAATTGCCTTCATAAGGATGATTTAAAATAATGAATAAATTGCCATGGACCCCCCATTTTCCTTCTGGCCAGTTTTTGAGCATGAGATGGTTTGTAAAACTGAAAGGATGGAGTTCCATTGAAAGTTAAGATGTTTAAAAAGGATTTATTCATGAATTTATAATGAAGAGGAAGTAAGCACTTGAAATTCTTACTCTCTTTGGTATTCAGGGATTAATTTACATTCACTAGCTTTCAGGACTGATGTGCGAGTTCTCTACAATTTAATGTGATGTAGACGTGCACTAGGTTGGGATACCATGTCTTGACAACCCTTCACGATCATCGGAGACCTTAAATATGTAGGACAGAATGAAGTTTATACTTGGGAAACCAAACTGCTCATGACTTCATAGTTACAGGGATAAGAAAACTTGTCTAGGGCTGGAGAGATGGCTCAATGGTTAAGAGCATTGCCTGCTCTTCCAAAGGTCCTGAGTTCAATTCCTAGCAACCACATGGTGGCTCACAACCATCTGTAATGAGGTCTGGTGCCCTTTTCTGGCCTTCAGGCATACACACAGACAGATTATTGTATACATAATAAATAAATAAGTATTTAAAAAAAAAAAGAAAACTTGTCTATTGGTAGAAGACAAAAGGTTTCAATATAGTGCGAATGAACTTTTCCAACAGTTCAGAAATGTTCCTTCATCATGCTGTCAGCTGGGATGTTGTACCTTTCAGAATGTGTAACAGCTATTGGAATGTGTGTGAGTGGTGGGGAGACAGGGCCAGTCTGTAGCCCAGGCTGCCCTCTAACTCTGATCAGTTCTCATGCCTGTTTCCCAGGCTTGGATCAAATACTGATCTACCACGCCCAGTCTGGGAATGTTTAAGGGAACCAGGTATTAGATGTTGTTTAGACTAAAGGTCCTTGCTATGGCTCGAATGTCCCTCATCCATTACAGACTTCGTATGTTACAAATACGTATGTCTTGATATGGTAAGAGGTGAGGCCTTTAAAAGGTGATGAATCAGGAGGGCAGATGGGTCGGTGCTATATTGTAGATTTAGTTAGCACAGAGGGTGGTTCTTAAGTTTGTCCCCTACCTCCCCACACCTCTGCTCTTGCCCTTCTCCCCCCTGCAGTGTCATGATGCAGCAAGAAAATCCTCCTAGATGCCGATGCTTTAATCTCAAGCTTCCCAACCTATGAGCTATAACAAGTAAATCTCCTCTCTAAATTACTTAGTCTCTGGTAGTCCCTCTCAGCAGTACAGTTGGAAGATAAAATCACTTTAATGCTATCTTAATGTTTTCGAACTAGGAATATGGTGTTCGAACTGAATTTATTTCAGATAAACGTAGCAAGCAAGAATTACCCTTTAATAAGTATTATTTTAAACGACTTGAAAATATTTTCAATATTTTACTAAGCTAGTCATATTTCCAGCCTCTGGTCAGGAATATGAAACAATGCATTTCCTAGTAGATTCCCAGAGTCACAGTGGACAAGATTATCAAATGCTGAGCTTTTCTCAGAGGACTTCCAGAGCGAGTGCTTAGCTTTCTGGTGGAGATGGACTATGAAATCAAGGAGAGTTTTGAGGAAGACAGTGGCTTGCTTTCCTACATTGACTGCAAGCATTTTGGATACCTTGACACAGGGAGAAGTTAGACTGTTCTTCCCTGATAGTTCATGTGATGTTGGTAGGAAAAGAAAATAGCATATTTTTATTCCTTTGTTTTGCATTATATCATGAGAAGTTTTATATTTTTGCTGTTGTAGAGGAATTCTGTTATGCATGAGAAAGGTAAAAATTGTCATTATTACTTCTGTTAATCAGATTTAGATAGGTTAGAGACAGGTTACTTCAATGCATAGCTATATTGACCAGGTGAGAATGTGATACTTGGCTTTGAAGAACTTTTTGTGGTAATCTGACTCTAGCCCAGGGCCTGAATAGAAGGCAGGTACCTTACCACTGAATTATACAACTAATCCTCAAGTTCTTCCTTGGCTTGTGGAAAACAGAACATGAATGGGACTTGCTCTAAGATAAGCCTTATCAGTAGAAGGTAACAGGATGTCTTATTATCATTTATGATTTTATTTTAAAAAGAAATAAGTGCTTCCAGTATTTACCTAATAAGTGTTTTGAATTTTATTTTCAATGACTGAAAGATTACTTCTTGGGGTATAGCGTTGCTTCAAAAGGAACTGATTTGCAAACTAGGACTCCACTCATCAACAGATGCTAGAGGTGAAAGAAGTGATGTGCCCTGCCTCGTAGCAGAGTAAGTGTCTTTGCGGAGACTGTAAAGATAAAGGCTCCGCCTCTCTGAGTATTTGAAATGATGAATGTGAGATGACTCCATGGGTAAAAGTGCTCGCTTAGCAAGCCTGATGATCTGAGTTCAGTCTCTGGGACCCACAGTGAAAGGAGAGAGATGGCTCCGGAAACTTGTTCTTGACTTGCATATACGTGGGCGTGCTCTCACGTAGATCATGTGCAGGCATATGCTTGAGGGTACAAACAGAGATGTAAGGAAATGCTGGGTACAATGTAGAAACACACACACACATACACACACACAAGATATAACTTGTGTGTTGGGAGGAGGACGCCACGTGGTAAGCATGCATGTCATGTGGAGGTCAGAACAGCTCTGGAGCTAGTTGTCTCCTTCCACCTCAGTAGGGATCCGGGGCCAGACCTCCAGTTATCCGGCCTGTGCAACAGGTGATCTCTACCCACTGACATACTGCTCGGCCTAAAGGATACAATATTTAATTTTATTTTTCTTTTGGGGGGTATGGTGCTTAGTGGAAAATAGTACCCAGCATGTACAAGGTTCCTGGTTTGATCTCCAATACTAACACGTGTACAGATTCTTTTTAATGCATGGTTTTTAAAAAGCTCATTTTTAAAGTTGTGGCTACTGAAGGGGAATATATAAAAATCTTGGAGCAGGGTAGATTTCCAGAGATGTAAGCAAGCGCTGAAGTCAGCAGCTGCCCTAAAGATGACAACCTACGCCAACAGAGAACTTTAATTTGAACTCTTGGTGCTGCCTGCTTGGGTGAAGACCAGGACAGGACCACAAGTTTACCATGGTAAAACTGAAGTGAATTTCTTAACTGGTACTTTATTAGAACAAGGGAAGAAATGTTCAAGTCCCCATGACTTAGCAGGTAGGGGACAACTGACTGGAACCTTGGGTCTTTACAAGGTACTGATAAATAAATGTAAGTCACCTGGAATGGAGTTCAGTATTGAGACAATATGCAAAGGCTACTCTTAATAATATGTGTGGGTTTCTTCTGGACCCCTCAGGGTTTTCTAAGTTCCTTACTTGCCCAGCCAAGACAGTAGTGGAATGGGGAAGACTCCAGGCTACAAACGTTGCTTTTTATTTTGAGGGTCTTCCTCTGTTGCCCAGGCTGACCTTAAGCGTGTGAGATTACAGGTGTATACACCATTCAGGCTTTTGATGTCTATAACACTGACTCTCACACTCTGTTCTCCATACCACATGGCCCTAAAAAGGGTAATATGAACCTAAAGTAAAACCCAGTTTCAGAAAGTAAGGTGTGTGTACCAAGCTGAAAGACCCAAGTCTCACGGCTGGAACCCACAACCTGTGCTGTAACTTGCACTGCCCCATCCCCACATACACTAATGATTAAAAATGTTTGCTCTTTGATGAAAATCAACTGTCTTGATCCTTTGATGGAATGTGGTTAGAAAAGAATTCACAACTACATATACCTTATGCACATACTGCTAGAAAAAAGGAAAATATTAATTACAGAAAGTCAATTTTTTTATCTTTTGAATTATAACCGATTGCTTCTGGGTTTTATAAATAAGGCATATTATAATCTTAAGATTAATGTTTCTTAAAAGAATAAAAAGACAGTTATTTGATATGCATAAAATTTATTTGGTACACCTATCAATTTCTACAATAAACCGGTGACAACAGTTCATGTAGTGCCCACTCCACACCCGAAATGACTTATTTAAGCATCCCTTGTCTGAAAATCAAAAGTTTTAAAAAGCTTCAGAACTGGAAACTTGAGAGAGTTAATAATGCCACATGGAAAGTTCCATATCAGACCAACTGACAAGTCAGTCATATGCATGTACATGAAGACAAATTTGCTTTCATATGATATATATGAGGTTCATATAGAATATCCCATATGAAAATAATTCCAATATTTGAAAAAAGAATCCTAACATACTTGTGGTCCCAACCATTTCAGGTAAGAAATAATCAACTTGTATGCAATAGATTATTTTGCAAGGTTTGAAGGAAGGTCAAGGTTTGAAGGATACCCAGTGTTGGTGAAAACTTTTATCATGAAATAAATTTAAGAAATGAAGCATTCATCCATTCCTCATTAGAAAATAGCAACGTCACATTGTTACACATTATTTACACTGCAAACTTGGAAGACTTGACAGCATCAGTTAATCACACGTCCTAGGAAAGGCCTGTTGGTCCTCTCCATGCTCCTTTGTTTAAAAGTAAGTTAGTTATACATCAGCTTAATGTCTTTAAGCACCAGCATGACAGTTTAAAGCACTCATTCAGTTTCAGAAGATATTCCTGCTTTGAAAGGCAAAGTGAACACAAAATGTGAACTCAATGAAATAAGTCACTGGCCTGACTGTTTTATTGCAAAAGTCTCAATGTTTTAATTCTATAATCATTCCTCTACATGAGTTTGCTCAAAGGTTTGAACCAAAATATTTGCCTTTTGCTTCAAAAATTTCCCTTAAAAAGCAGTTCTTTTTGGAACTCAACATCTGTACTTCTCATTCAGTGTTAAATATGCAACATGGTCCTTGGAGGTCATATTATGGTCAGGAAGTCCAGCTTCTGGATGACTGGTTACACAAAACAAAAAACCTTAAGTAACCATAAATATACTGACGGTGCAGTCATGTTTTACCACACATCAGCACAGCCAGATTATTCTTTGCATGTCTAAATTATTAATGTACAATCAGGTTTAATACCTAACAGTTAAATTTCCATTCATCACATTATATTAAAAGCTCTAGAAGACTCTGCAAGTTCTACTCTTCAGAAACATTAGGACACTATTAAGGCATTACTTGATTAACAGACTCTAAAGAAACTAGTATGTCTGGAAAGGAGAGCTAGTCACATTTTAAGGCAGTCGAAAGAGTCATTTTTTCCATGTTAAGGCTCTTATATAACTATAATTTATTTCTTGCAGACACTATTCTGGATACCTGAAAGATTCATCAATTGGCCAATTATTGAAATGAATGTAATTCTAATAAAACAAATGGATAGTTTAGAAACAGAGCGTAACCCTCCTGCTCCAGTTCTTTTAAATTCAACTTCATTCATCTTATTCCTTTGGAGAATTCTCCATTATTAAGTTTGCAATAAAAAAATTATAACTCAAATAAATTACAAAGCTATTTGGCCAACTGTGCCAAATATAGAGTCTATATTTAGAACAGTGAAACAAGAACTATTTTATTAGTATTCATTCACTATCTATTTAAAATCTAATTCAGTCATACTGGGGTTCGAGTTTATGCTTCAAAAAAGCCTAAACAGTCACTTAGACACAAATTGCAATGCAATGTTTTCACCTATATAATTTACCACTTACATGTAGTAAACAGGATGTTAACCCATTCAGCACTTTAAATAATCCAAACATAAAGTGAAATTAGCAGAAATAAATAAATTTAGTTTCTTTTTTTTCAAATCCAGATTCTGCTAACTTATAAAAAGTACAGAAGTTCAAACATCTTAAAATTAAAATTCACTTGTGTTCACAAAGTTAAGATGATTAAAGGCAGGGATAGATAAAGTAGAAAGGCCAAACTATTTCTAGGATCAGAAATAGCTTTTGTATAGCTTCATTTTATTTACAAATACTTACTGGAAACAATCACAATTCAGAAATAGGATCTTGCAGATTTTCCTTTTCATTTTCTAATATACCTTATTTTAAGGATTTAGGAAAAATGTGCCATTTGTTATTTTACTCAGGCAGTACATTTAACAACATTATTAGTCTTTTATATGAAAAAATATTTTAGAATTGACTTTAAAGTTCACAGTGATTTTATTTAAAAATGCAAATAGTTACCAATTAGAAAGATACTGAATGCCAATATACATCATCATAAGGCTTTTTATACGTGTATGGACACTCAGGTGGAACACTTTGAAATCTATAATGATGGAAAAACAGGATGTAAGCATCACTTTCTGAAACTGACAATTATTAGATTCCTTATATAGTACAACACTTCTCTTTTTAATGTTTATCAATAATTATAAACAGATTCTGAGTAACTGATCTTACTGAATGGCCATTAAAATTTCTGGAATACCTACAAAGGTATTCTCTCTCTTGATTTGGGGAGAGAATGTATCAATCCAGGTATTACTGTAGTAATTTGGAAAGGTACTTTATTATTATTTTGTATTTATTTTTATTTTTTATGTGGCTTGGTGTTTTGCCTGCATGTATGTCTGTGTGATGGTTTAAGATTACCCAAAACTGGAGTCACAGACAGTTGTGAGCTGCCATGTGGGTGCTGAAAATTAAACCCAGGTCCTCTGGAAGAACAATCAGTGGTCTTAATCACTGAGCCATCTCTCTAATCCTGAAAATTATGTTCTTAAATTCATAAAATGAAAAACAACCTGCAATAGATTCACCCTAAGCCTGAATGTGGATGACTTTCTGGTCATGCAGTTTATTACCCAATTGGATCAAACTGGAAAAAAAGACAAAAATGTGAGAAGACTTGCAAAGGAGAAAAATGAACCTGAAATAATCTTCCATAAAATAAGAGATTAGCAAGAATCAGGAAAACAAAGTCAATTCAAAGTTAATACTGGCTCATTTCACTGCAGAACCCATCGTCTTTTCTGATCTTTCTTTATGGCTGTATGACATTTCTCCTAGAAGACAATTTGTATCTTAACAAAACCAACCTAATTCAAGACTAGATTTTCCATTCTGAGTTACTGTTAACAGAAGCACATCACACAGTCACCAGATCTGCTGCAGTATCTTTGTTTCCCACTTTTCCACACACATGCACATTACAAATGCCATTGCATGCATGTGATCTGAGGATAGCTCGCAGGAACTGTTTCTCTCCTCCTATCATGTAGGGTCCAGGAACTGAGCACAATTTGTTAGGCTTGGTGGCAAGTGTTTTTACCCATGAAGACATCTTGCCGGCCCTGTGACAATATATTTAAGTCACACACACATACAAACCCAACAACAACAACAACAACAACAACAAAACAAAACTCCAAGAACTTACAACAATTTAGCCTTCATTTCCTGCTTAGATGTCTCTTTACTGTGCTTCTAAAGATGGTTCTTAATAGTTATATTCTCAAATTTATACTGCTTTGATTTTTTTTCAAAATCTAGAAAAGTGAGAACAAGCTGTCAAACAGTGTTTTGTCAGTTGCAGACTCGTTATTCAAATAGGTTACTATAAGCAAGTGCCTGTCATTAACAGCACGGTGGTATTTTAATTTTGAGCTTTGCTTCCATTTTTTTTTGAAGTATATTTCTTCTTTCACTTTAATCAGAGAATAGTGACATCTTAGTGTTTATAATTAAAAATTATGTTGAACTGGTATTGAAAGACCACCTTTCTGGCTTCAATTTTAGGTACATATTAAGCTGCTGGTTCTTCTACAATCTAAGAATAAGATACGTTAATTTGTAGAAGAGCCAAATTTTCACACGTATGTTAAACTGCTGTCTCTAAGGACACAACACTTGAAAAGAAACAAGAGGCTGCAAAGGGTGAAGTAAATTCTACTCGCTAGCATACGCCTCACACTCTTAAACCACTCACTATTAGTTTTCATTAAGTGCAATTCTACTAATAGAAAACGGTGAGATGAAAAGATTCGTGTTTTGTTTTACTAATAACAACTAAATCTTGGAAATATTTACATAGTATTTAGGAAATAAAGTTTATTTTTCTTAAGATTGTTTTTTAAAGCAGTATTTTCCATACTATTTATTTAAGAGTAACCCTAGTGGTAATTTGAAAAATAAAACTTGTTTACCACTTGAGTATATCCTATGCTTAATGAGGTAAATCCTTTCTATGGGACTATATTACATAGCAACATAGGCTGTTAAGACATAATTGTGTTTGAGAGTTATTCCAAATTAAAAAAACATATATGTTCACAATTTCCTAAAGCAATTATGCATATCATCAATTCCTAATGTCTGAATAAATTTTTGCATAATTCTACCATATCTCTTATTAAAGCAATGAGCTCCCATGTAGGAGAAAGAAAAGCTAAATGGTACCCAGAGTGGCAAAGCCTTCTTAGGCCACCCGTCTCCAAAATCATCCAGCCTTATGCTCGGGATGGTGGCATATGTCTATTACCCCAACACTTGGGAGGTAGAGGCCAGAGAACCTCTGTGAGTTTGAGACTAGCCTGGTCCACATAGCTCTAGGACAGCAGGAAAAAAAGTTATCTAAGATTTCTTTCCAGTCTTAATTTTTGTGATTTGAAGATAAAACAGCTTTCAGTGGGGTCTTCTTTTGTTCTCTGTTTTTCTTTCTTAATTTTTTTTTTTTTTTTGAGAAGGTCTCACTACTTATACCTGCCCATGCCTCCCGGTACTAAGAATAAGGCTTGTGCCACCACACCTGGCTCCTGTCTTCAATCTTAACCTATTTAATTAGGCCTACCTAAATACTATAGAAGGGTCTCCTCTAATCTGATTTCCCTGATGGATTAAATATTTGCTCCTAGACATACTCTGCTTGCCTAAAAGCACTATCCAAATAGCACAGAAGCAAAAGAAGCATTTATATAATAACCCATGTAACATTTAATAAGTTAGATGATATTAAAACTAGATCCTGGGTTTAAGAAGTCAATAGCTCTCATGTAATTCTTAGAGTTTTTCTTAAATTCAGTTTGAATATGAAACTTTAATGTACCAAAAGTAAAGATGTGAAATTCCCCATGTGATCAGGGTTAAAGCCAGAACAGCATCAGAAGCCATGGCGTTTAGAGTGGAATAATACTATCTTTGCTAACCACACAGAGAGAACCACAGGAGAACTGTTACTGGCTGGAAAGAATACCTACGGGGTGGGAGGCCGGCAGAGAAAGAAAGAACAGCTACAGAGTCAACCTCGCTTATATAGGAAATCTATCAGAAGGGAACATTTTCCTATTCTCAGAGCCTAATTTTCTTAGGAAAAAGAAGAACATGTATACACAAATTTTCACAATAGCAAAGACACTTTCCTCCCAAAATAAAAAACTTTACCTTCTAAATATATAAGGTTATGTAACCTACACTTTCTAGTTTTGACTTTTCATATAAAGTGAGAGGGCTTTATAAGCCCTCAGTAAATCTTCAATATTTAAAGAATTCAGAAAAAATTAAAGTTTTAGTATTAAACTACCTTAGATACCATTCCAAAATCGAGAGAACAATTGTTAGCCTTTCAATAGGCCATTTTCATGCTAAACCTCCCAATGAAAATGAGACTGCTCAAGAAAAGAATGTATGTTAGTATGGCAAAAAAGAAGTTTAAGTTACACAAAGCAAGTTTTTAGATTTCCTACACAGACTGACCGGTTCATAGCTGCCTACTCTAAAATTGCCTTTGAACTTGAAGGATCTAGCTTGCTTTATTATTTCTATACTTTCTATACTTCTATCCAATAAGAAATAAGACACAAGATGAATAGTGGACACAAATAGAAAAGACTACAGATAAACTTAATATTAGAAAAATATAAAATGTAGTTAAAGGTATTTTAGAGGTATGGGAAGAGTTTAACAGTTGAGATTTCAACTGTTATACTACCAGGATTATGGATGGGGGACTAAACATGGAAACACTTTGTTTCCATAAAGAAAACAGGAAAGTGGTAAGTAAGAGACACTGTTGATGCTGAGAGGGAATCATTAAGTGTGTCTTCACTTACGGCAGTAAATACAAGGACACAATCAAATTCCTCCGCTTACACGAACTCAACAAGTCCCTTAGGGATGGCCATCATGTTTTGACTAAATGACAACAAAATCTAGCAAGTACAAACAAAACACTTGAAATAAAACACCCTTTTCATTGAATAAGAAAGCTGTTGTTCATATGATCTTAGAAAACTCTGGATTTGTAAAACTCTTCATAATTTAGTTGTACCAAGTGTCTTAGTATTTTTTTTAAACCCCTTTGTATAAAGTTTACCCTGTGAGGTTCATTTCCGTCACAGTCACATGGTCTAGTGCACTTCAGAGTATTTGGACAGTATCAAAACTGTCCGTTTCCAATGAAAACATTTAAGAAAACAAGCACTTCTCAAACAAGTGACATGTGAGGCTACTTACACTTTTGCATCTTAGCTGCTGAAAGTACAAATGAGTGATTCACCGGAGTAAAACATGACGATTTTACAGTGTCTATTAAAAAGAAGTTCTCTATGGAGAAAGCTACAGTATCCTGAAGACTTCTCAAGAGCTACTGAGTACATGCACCTTTGGGCTCAACATGATTTTCCTTCCTTCCTTCCTTCCCTCTTTTCCTGCTCTTGGCAAAGTTCATTTCCATCACGCACACTCTGATGACACTGCTCACTACTGCATTTAGCTGGGAAGTAGCTGTAACTTTTCCATGAAGCCCACTACAGCAGTGAACCCCTCAGGTCATTCTGGTACTTATGGTTAAATTATATCCAATGTAAAATTTCGAATTACATCCAGAGTCGAAGTATCAAAGCCGCACATATCCAACATGCCTCTATCGTCTGGGTCTGCGATGGTAAAACCATTTGATGTCATTCCACAAACAATCAATTTAGCAGGAATATCCATTTTCTGTACGGAAAATACAGGGAAAGCAAATACATATATAATTATAATTATATGCAAGAAAAACAAAAAATTAAGACCTTCTTTTGTCAGGCTGGTCTAGAACTCACAACCATGGTCCACCCTATAAATTCTGAGATTGCAGTGTGCACCACCAAGTCCAGCTTACAATTTTGATATATACAATACATCTTACCCTCCAGAACTATAGTTCTGCCCCATTCTCTCATTGACTCTCTGCTCTGTCTCCCATCTGTTTCTCTTTCTTCTTCCTACCTATCAAATCAAGGATCAAACCAGGACCTTGAATATAATAGATCAGCTTTCTACTACTGAGCTATAATCCCAGTCTCTTGATATGTAGTTAAGATTACAATAACTAATTATTAAGGAAAAAAACAATCAATGAAGGTTCATTTTGTCAGGTACTATAACAAACCTATGAAAAAATGTTATTTAAAAACTTTTGTTTTGATAAACTTTCCTTGAGAGAGGATTTCACATAGGCCAGGCTGACCCCAAACTTGGTATATAGTTGAGGATAACCCTTCTCCCTCTATCTTCCAAATGCTAAGACTATAGGCATGTATCACCATCCCGAGTTTTATTCAGTGCTAGGGATTGAGCTTTCATGTATGGTAGACAACTACTCTACCAATGGAGATACACATCCAGCCCTTACTTATTTATGTATTGTGACAAGATCTCACTATATATGTAGCACAGGCTAGTCTTGAACTCCTTATATAGCTTTGACTGTCCTCAAATCAAAGATCTTCCTGCCTCAGACTCTTGTTTAAAGTCTTTATTTTTAATGTGTCTATGTGTGACGCAGGTGGTTGTAGAGGCTAGACGCATCAGATCTCTTGGACCTGGAGTTATTGGCAGTTATGAACCTCCCAACATAGGTGTTGAGAAATGAATAAGATTCTCTGCAAGTGCAGTGTGTGCTCTTAGTTACTGAGTAGAGAGGTGTCTCTAGTCCCTTGCCTTCATCTCTTGAGTACTAGGATTACAGCTAAGTCACCATGCCCAGTTCTGATGATAAATTTGTTTTGGAGACAAGGTAAAACTGTTGTACCAACTTTAAGATATACGGACCATTATCTACTATGACATTTTATCAGCTCACTAATTTGTGCAGAATCCAGTTAGCAGAAGAGACTTAGGACTAATATTTATGCTGTCAAATATTTATTGAAGATGTGTTACAATTGTTTATGCTGTGGAATATTTGTTTAATGATGCAAAGATGTGTTGCATTCTTTTATGTTGCATTTGTTTAACTCTGTGAAGCCCTGTAACTTTGTCTGCCTAAAACACCTGATTCATCTAATAAAGAGCTGAATGGCCGGTAGCTAGGCAGGAGAGAGAATCAGGAGGGGCTGGCAGGCAGAGAGAAAAAATTGGAGGAGAAATCAGGAAAGAGAAGATCAGAGAGCAAAAGGAGGAGAGAAGGACTCCAGGGGCCAGTCACCCAGCTACACAGCAAGCCACAGAGTAAGAAGTAAAGAAAGGTAAATAATATATAGTAAGGTAAAAGCCCAGAGGCAAAAGACAGACAGGTTAATTTAAGAAAAGCTGGCTAGAAATAAGCCAAGCTAAGGCCAGGCATTCATAATAGGAAACAGTAAGCCTCTGTGTGATTATGGAGGAGCTGGGTGGCGGACCTCCCCAAAGAGTAAAACAACCAACCACATATCCAAAGTGCTTTTAAGTGCAAATACTATTTCCTATGTTATGGCACTCAAAAGCAAAGCACTCATGGGAAACCTGAAGCCTACCGATGGGGCTTGACTCAGCAGATGTCTGATGGGGTCGGCGATTTACATTTCTAACATGGACACCGAATGATGCTTTAGCTTGTGGGAAAATTATATTGTGAGAACCAGTGTTTTTCACATCAAGTTCTGCTTATCCTTCTAGCCATGTGAGCCACATGTTCATGCTCAATAGCCTAGTGACCAACGCCCACACAATAGTAAAAATATTTTTGTCAAGGAAAATGTCAATACAGATATATCCATGAAATTTAGAAGACAGACTGAAAAACGTACTGTAACTTTATGTAGTTCTTTTAAACTCACAAATGATAATTTAATTTTCAAGGAATGCAACGTATCATTACCAATATTAGCTGCGGTCAGATACTTATTTGGTCATTATCAAAAGCTGCTGGCAAAGGGCATTCTTATTAATATTAAGCACTGCAACTGGGTGATGTATGTGTAGTCCCTACCTTTTTACTTCAAGTACTGCTGAGCCCATCCGACACTGGCTTTCCTACACAAATGAAGAGAACATACTCAAAAGGAAGAAAGTATGGTTTGGTGTGGCACAGGTTTGTGCTTTACCTTTCGGTACTCCCTCAGGGCAACAGCAGGAGGCACCTGTCCTGCACAGGTCTCATTATCAGTGAACACAATGAAGACATCCGCAGCTGTGTTTGTCTTCTGGGCCCAGATCACTGGAAGAGAGCAATCGGTGCTACCTGCTGGGACCTATCTCAGGGAAAGAAAGACAGTAAAATAAAATTACCTCAATGTCTATCTATCACATGTCTCAAATGAATACATAGAAGCTCTAATTTTTAGAGCACCATTTTATGTAAAACCAGTATCAAGGCTTTGTCACGCCTGCACATAGATATTTTTGGTTGTGCTTGCTATGGGAAGTTAGAACAATTCCTTCCTACAGATATTATGCACAAACCCCAAGTAAAAAAAAAACACAGGTCATATAAATAAAACAGTATCTTACTTTAGTCATAGCTGTTAAAACCTGCTGCAAGGTCATGTCTGTAGTCACAGGAAACGGTACCATATCACAGGCAAAAGCAACTACTGAAGACTCTTTTTCTGTTCGTGTGACCAGCTGTAAAATGCAATGGTAACACTTTTCAGCATACTGACATAGTTACAGTCTCTTAAAGGCTTATAAAACTTTATCTCTGAAAGAAACACTATGGGGCTTATTCCTGAACTTGAATATTTGTGTTTCAGAATACAGAGTCGCAGCACCGCTGATGTCTGGTGAGATGGCTCAGTGGGCAGAGGTGCTAGCTGCCGACAATCGGAATTCAGTCACCGGAATCCACGTGGTGGAAGGTCAGAATGACTCCTGTCAGTTATACTGAGGATCCCTCTCTCCAGGGGCCAATGCAATCCATACATGAAAACAAAAAGTATGACTCAAAAACTCTTTGAGAAACTGATATTTACAGTACCCTCTGAGGCAAATAAACAAACATAAGCTTCTCATTTTACTAAATAAGGAATAAAGGCACAGAAGGGAAGGTGGCTTCCTTGCCACGTGGTGATGGAAGCATGATCGAGAACTGAACCGTCTAGTACCTGCCACTAGTTTGCGCTTTTAACATGTTTTCTTCCTTCCCTCCCTCTCTTCCTTCCTTACTGCCCCCACCCTTTCTTTGTGTAGCCTTGGCGGTCTGGGAACTCACTCCCTGGACCAGGCTGGCTTCAAACTCACAGAGATCCGCCTGCCTCTGCCAAAATCTCTGGGATTAAAGGCATGCAGCACCTCTGCCCTGCTAAACATATTTTTTCTAATTATTATATACTTTTGCAAATACTAGTAACATTTAAATTTGCTATAAAATTTGGCAGCTCAATTCTGATTGTTCCTCACACATGCATTTTCAGCATAACTGAAACTTTGTCTTTAGATATAAAATGGTAAACATAACATAAATGGAATGACAAAATAAGTGAAAAACAACTCCTTTTTTTTTTGTTCTGTTTTTGTTTTATTTTATGTGATTGGTGTTTTGTCTGAATGTGTTATCTGTTGTGAGGGTGTCTGATTCCTTGGTACTGTAGTTACAGATAACTGTGAGCTGCTACGTGGATGCTGGGAATTGAACTTGGATCCTTTGGAAGTGTAGGCAGTGCTCTTAACTGTTAAGCCATCTCTCCAGTTTTGAAAAACTAATTCTTGATGATGTTTACCTTTACGGTTTTACTTTAAAAACATTTTGGGGGTGGGCATGCTAACCGTTTTGGAGGTCTTACCATGCACATCGCTGCAGCAACAGTACTAGCAGTGAGTATACTACCCAAAACTCTCTGGTTCATAGAAGCACTGACATCAACAGCCAGCAGGAAACGCTTCCCAGTCGGCTCAACCATCTATAAGGCAAACAAGGTAGTCACAACAAAGGCAGATTAAGCTGGAGAAAAAAAATCGTATTTCTTCACCTTCCATTCAAAAGGCTCCCAGAGGAAAGGCCTGGTTTTTTGATATGTAAGTTAAGTGCCTATTATTTTTAAAACTCTACCTCTTATTAACTGGTAAAACGAAGAAAACAATGTAATCCATTTAATTTTACTTAAAGAAGCTATGGTCCTAATTTGAAAGACTTTTCTCAATGAAGTAACATGGAAACATCTAAGATTTATTTTATTTTTTTACTGTGGAAAAAGATAAATAACATTTATTGTTTAGCCATTTTTTAAGGGCATAATTCTGTGGCATTAAGTATATATTTACAGCTTACAAGCACTGCCTCTATTTATAGATGCTCTTACTATCACAATAGAAACTTCATCCGATTAAGCAGCAACCTTAAGCTTACGCATTCACCTTGAGCAGCCCTGCACCTTCCAGGCCTTTTCTGGCTCTACAATGTGTAGTGTGCTTCAGAGAGTGAAAACACTTGGGCACCTTTTGGTTCCTTGAATAACGCTGGGATGGACACTTGATACAAATACAAGGTCAAATACCTCTTTTTGGTCTTCCGGGTCTCTGTCTGTCTGTCTGTCTGTCTGTCTGTCTATCTGTCTGTCTCTCTGTTTGTCTTTCTTTCTCTCGACTGGGTCTTTCTATGCAGTTTTGACTGTCTTGGAACTTGCTCCATAGAGCAGGCCATTCCCCAGGTAACCTCATATTAGAAAAGAAAGAGCAAAAGTACGCTTGCACATCCTGACTATCTGTCAGGATGGAATAGGTCTACTTGTATGAGCCATCTTAATATCAAAAGAACCAAGTAATCACGTCCTGGGTCAGAATGTGTAGAGACACTTATCAACCATTCTGAGGAATGTCCAAACTCTCTGACAAAGTGGAAACAGGCTCACATTTTTGGGTCTCCACAATCCAGAAAATTTTGAAATAAAAAATTTTTAACTTATGGTTCTCATTTCCATTTTGAAAACCTGATTATCAAGACTGATGAGACTAAGCTCCTGATTAGCAATGGAATTTAAAAAGAATACTAAGTTGAAGGAACCCACAGAAATACAAATTCTCAAATTCAGTAAATTATCAATATGACCTTAAAATGTATTAAAATGATCTTGGGATAAATAGCTGTTATTCAGAGTAACAAGAATTACTCATAAACTTACAACATCAGTTTTGCAGTCACCTTCATAACAATTAAGAGAAACCCATAAATATATATTTTAAACTAGATGAACTATTAATATTATTATTAAAATGTGTTTTTACAAAATATATTAATCCACGAGTATTTTTTAAATGAAATAAACTATTACCTTAAATGTTTTATAAAAAGCAGCATCCAATGCTTGCAAAATTTCTTTATCTGGAGTCCACTTCAGTTTTCCTCTAAGCCCATGGCCTATTCTGTAGGTTTCTAATGCAATTAAAACATGAAATGGATGCATACAAGCCTAGAAACAAGACAGACAGAAGGTAGTTGCCAACTTCAAGTTAAAATAACAATTATGAGTCTTCAGAGTTTTATATTACTATAGGTCATAAGGACACTAAAAAAAAGAACAAATATTAAACTTAGATTTAAGAATTAAATGCAACTTGTCATGAGAGAAGTCTCAGTTCACTTGAGAGCCAAGTTCTTTAGCTAACCAAGTCATGGGCCACACATACCTTTTTGAGCAGTTTTTCATTGCACAGTTTCTCACACACTAAAGATACTTCAGAATTTCCTGGTTCAAGCACTGAATTAGCGGTCATCTTTCCCAGATTCCTCAGGAGTGCAGTAAGGGGCATTTCTTGTAACAAAGCCTTCCATACCTACAGGGGGAAAGAGGGAACAACAGAGGGTGAATAGCATTGCTAGAAATGTAAAAATTGATGGGAAATGAGTCAGTATAACATAGCTAAATCAACCACATTAACAATATATTCTGTCAAGTTCTTACTTGGGGTTTAAAGAATGCAAATAAAGTGGTCAAAGGCTTATCAAGTAAGAATTTGAAGGTTTTGTGGAGAAAACACACGGCTTTTTAAATTTTCAAGGTAGTCTTTTTTTTTTTTGGTAGTATAATAATGTCGGTATCATCCTAACATTCATTTTTTTTTCTCTTTTTTTGAGACAAGGTTTTTCTGTCTATCAGCTCTAGCTGTCCTGGAATTTGTTTCATAGACCAGTGGGCCTCAAACTCAGAGATCTACCTACCTCTACCTCCAAGTGTTGGGATTAAAATGTGGCTCAGCTACATTGAATATTTTTAATAGTTATCACTTTAAAGATATGTTTGGGTTCTCTCTCTGTATGAGTGTGTGTGTGTGTGTGTGTGTGTGTGTGTGTGTGTGTGTGTGAGAGAGAGAGAGAGAGAGAGAGAGAGAGAGGAGTGTGTGTGTGTGTGTGTGAGAGAGAGAGAGAGAGAGAGAGAGAGAAAAGGCCTGATATTGATGCTGGGAATTGAGAGAGAAAGAGAGAGAGAGAGACAGAGACACAGAGAGAGACAGAAAGAGAGACAGAGAGAGAGAAAATATGAATGAATGAATGAATGAATGTGTGTGTGTGAGTGAAAAGGCCTGATGTTGATGCTGGGAATCTTCCTTACTAGCTTCTAACTTTTCCTTTTGAGGCAGGGTCTCTCAGTCAAACCCGCATCTCCTTGATGTGCGGTCTGGTTGCTCTGGGATTCCATCTGTGTTTCTACTGGCATATGAACACTGGTTGGTCTTCCTGTGTGTTCATCAAGTGCTCTAAACACTGAGTCATCTCCCTATTCCCTTCTCTTGTTTTGGAGGGTTGGGAATTGAACCCCAGGTCTGGAACCTGAGGTTTTTCTTTTCAAAGGACTAACTCACCTCTTTAGACTTCAAGTGGTTTGTGAGCAGATGTTCCCTAACTAACTGGTGTTCTTCGATTAGATGAATGACTTCCAGCTCATCTTTCGTACGCTTCACTTTCTCCACAGCCTCCAGATACTTTAACAATTTTTCAGTCTCCACAGAAAGTGCCTTTTCTTTATACAGTTCGTGAACTTCTTTCCAACCCTTTGTGATATATTTGGTCACAACAGCAAGTCCTTTAACAAGATAAAGAATTGGAAACGGAAGGAGGATTAGTGAAAACAGAATGAACGTGATCAGCTTAACTAGAAGACAGGAGCTGACTCCCTCAAAGTGGAATGTTATGTTCTGCCACATAACAAACACATTAATGCAAATGAAGTGAGCTTTTAAAAAATATACCTTTACTGTCTACACATGTGGTGGCGGCGGAATCTCTCTATAGCTTAAACAAACTGTACTACAGAAGCACTTCTGAGATACTGAAATTATAAACTTTGTAGACAGTCTCTATTTCATGTCCATGACCTCATTCAGAGTATAGATCTATTCCAATGATTATCATACTGATTTATCTATGCTTCAAGCCCAATATTTTAAAGAAGAAGAACTTGTACATTTCTTTTACTTTTTTTTTTAACAGTAAAAAGAGGTTTGGAGTGAGAAATATCTATGCCTACAGTTTGCTTCTCATAATATCTTTTGCTGAAAACACCTTTTGCATTTGAAAAGACTGAACTTCGGTCAGACCATGAAACTGGTTTAATACACCTTGAGATCATTTAAAACTATGTACTTAACCTTCTAGTCTACTGTGTACGGGTTTAAGTTCAAACTGCCTTCAGAAAACAATGTAACCAGCCTTACTATGCCTTGGATTTCCCATGTAATCAGTCAGCTTTTATATCGTAAGCAAACTTTAAAGTATGTACTCTTCCATGCCTCTGACCCAGACTAATGTATTTGTGTGTGTGTGGTGATAATTATATAGGTTAAAAGCAACTTAAAATAACAAGTATCTCAGAAATGTTGGAAGCAACATATGGATATAGGTTGACAAGTAACATCTGTGCTGGTTTTAAGAGCTATTTTGATGAGTGTGGTTCAGTAAAGGAACTTCTTCCCTTGTAAACTGTGTTAAAGATTTTTACAGCAAAGTATTCCTCATGCCTTTTCCAGACCAGTTTTCTGTGTTGTTCTACATATACAGAGCAAATCCCTTTGTAAGGACAGGCAACAGTAACAGATTAGAGACAAACTACAGACAGACAACAGATAAGCCACAGACCACAATCTATAGACTGTAGGAAGACAGAGAGAAGTGGAGAATTCAAATTTGGGCTCATTCTTGGCTTAAACTACTCCAGTAGGAAGTATCTTTTTTTCATTCCTTAATACACATTTCTGATAAATTGTTATCTTTCTACCTCTTACTCTCCAAATCTGTAAAGGGTAGAGATTAATAAATTCAGGTAAAACACAGAAACAGATCACAGTCACCTAAAAACCATGGTCAGAGAGCCATGGTAAAAAACATGGCCAGAAAGTATCAACTGACAGGCACTGGTTTAGAGATTCCAAAACAAACAAACAAACAAACAAAAAAACCAAAAAAACCCCAAAAAACCAAAAAAACCAAAAAATCCCCCAAACAAACCAAAAAAACAACCAACCAACCAACCAAACAACAACAAAAAACTTTCCAGAAGCCTTGAGCCAGCCCTCTTGCACAGGCCTCTAATTCTAGCTTTTCAGAGGTTGAGGCAGGAGGATCTTAAGTTCAAGGCTAGCCTGGGCAATTTAGTGAGACCTTGCTTCAAAATGAAAAGTTTGGAGTGTGGGAGATATAGCTCAGTGATAGAGCTATACACCTTCTATGTGTATAGCTTACGTCTAATCTCGGAAGGTCAGGACGAATAAATGAGCAATAAAGAACAATAAGAGGGTTGAGAATACAGTCCAGTGCTTCATGGACTACTTGCCCACCATGTGCAAGGCCTCAGGCTCAACCCTAGCTCCATGGTCAGCTCATCTGGAGGCAGGTTAGAATACAGATTTTTATATCAAGTCTTCTCACTTTACTATACTGACAAAACTTATATTTTCTTAAAATATTTTTACAGGCTAAATAAAACATATCTCTAAGCAAAACTAAGACAGCCTATATGCTATTTTTGAACTCTAATTTAGATAATATGATCAAAAGTTAGTATTAACATGCAGGAATTCCTACAGTATTGTAACTTGCGGTCTTAAATGCTTTACCTAGAAGTATCTTCTATGTTGTTTTTCCAATAAAAATAAAAATTCCTTAAACCTAAATATTAAAAACTTAAAAGTATAAAATCAGCATGTTCAAACTTTGATTTGTCAGGTCTTTTGTTTCAAACTGATTTTAAATATGTCTGGATTAATTAAACACTATGTTTTCTGAATGAAAGCTAATTCTAGAAAATGAATGAAATTTTGCTACTTATCAACCACCTATGTCTGCTACCCATTAGGGAATCTTATGCTTACCTTCGCTGGAAGGCTTAAGATGTGACAGTCTTAAGAGATCTTTGTGAGACCAGCCATTCCTTTGCTTATATTTTGTAACTGCCAGAGCAATGGCCATGCCACCTTTTTCATTGTACCAGTCTGCAACGGCCTTCCGGAGAGCACGCCCCCACATTCCACACTTCATGCTTTCCTTCAGATCTTTCTTAAACTGGATAAAAGTGAAGAGATGGGTTGGAATGCGACAAACTTCGGGCACAGCTTTAAAGGCTGCCTGTTTGGTCTTTGTGTCCGAACACTGGGAACAAATGGCAAGTGCAAACAGCAAGGGCTCTTGTTTGGCAGTCCTGCCTTCCTGACTAAACGACTTGATTTCCTGGATCACTTCACCTCCTCTGCCATCTTCAATCAATCTTACTAAGGCTTCGGCATTTTCGAGACCCAGCTTCTGTTCTTTGATATAGTAGGTACCACCTTCAGAACCAAAACACAAGAAACGGTGCAGCCGGTTCATGTCTGTGACCTGCCATACGTATCCGCCCTCCGAGTTGGCCACTTGACTCTCACTCAGTGGCTGCAACTGGTTTGCAGATGCTTCCATCTTCCTTATTCTTTGGGAAATCTATCAAAAAGACAAAGTGCAATGACAGTTAAATGGATTCAATACATTTTATAAAGGCAAACAATAGTAAATCTCTGCTTATTGAAATGTTTTGAGCTTTTTAAAATTTCAAAACATCTTTTGAACTCAGTAAGTTTTTCTCAGTAAAACATCACTAAAAATGTCATGAAAAATTGGAAAAGGCAGAAATAGAAAAAAAAATCACTCAAAATCACTTGTGACCATCTAACAGTGACTTAGAGTAAGACCTGGCTTATGATTAAAACTTTTATTATCTATTCATATTTTTATAACCTAGAGAAATCCCAATTTTTCAACAACAGCAGCAAGTAGTATACCGATCACAAAGAACTAATTTTAAGATACAATATATTATGTCTAATTAATCATACAATATATAATACATTATTATACATGAATTATACCACTTATTAACGAAGTAGGTCAGTGTGAGAGCTAAGGTCCAGATAAGGACAAAAAGGGAGCAACTGTAGACATCAGCTCCCTAAAGAACTGTGCATTTCTGGTCTCCATTCTAACATCTGCCCTCACAAGAGACTACAGGGAGGAGGATACCAGGGAAATAGTGTCTGGCAATGTCCAATGCTTGGAGAGTGTCATCTAAATAAGATAATGATGGGAATGGCTATTGCAGTGGCTTGGAAAAGGGAAATGACTAGCCAATCCAAGTGCAGCAGAGTGGCAGAAGGAGGCTGAGCCAGTGAGAACAGGAGACGATGCAGCAGGAAGTGACTCCACAGATCTACTCTTTCTCGTTTCCTTTCTTCCTTTCTCCCCCGCCCCCGAGACAGGGTTTCTCTGTGTAGCTTTGTTTGGAGCCTGTCCTGGTACTCACTTTGTAGACCAGGCTGGCCTCAAACTCAGAGATCTGCCTTCCTCTGTCTCCTGAGTGCTGGGATTAAAGACGTGCGCCACAACTGCCTGGCTCAGATCTGCTCTCTACAGAAGCACAGTTCTGAGCTATAAAGGAAGGAAGGAAGGACAAAAACCTAGAAGAAAACTTTCTTGCTGTCTTCAGGAGTGTGCTACTGAGGGTGGTGTTGAGTCAACCTGGAGAATGGGTGATGACAGACAGAGGATAACAGCAAGCGAGACTCCTAAAAGAACAGGACAGAAAAGGTTACTGAGTTGGAAATTGGTCCAGGGGTGACAAAACAGAGACACTGCCTTCTCTGAGGGCGAACGATGTGCTAAGAGAGCTAAGCGAGATGAGAAATGAAGAAAGTCCCATCTGGCGGAACATGCAGCGTTTCCCATGGCAGGTGGGGAAGCCAGGTAGCCTGGGGACCTGGGGTATCATACAGCAGACAATGGAGTGGAGATACATGCACGAGGGGACGGGAGAGTCTTACATTCTAAATGGGACAGAGGGGACAGTGATTATAATTTACATTGGAAATATCAGAGTCAAGATTTCAAATTAAAGCTCAAAGCTGCTTATGTTAGGGCAAGTGTAGGGTAGGGCTCATGTAGTTGCAGAGAAAGTGACCACATCAGGAATTAGAGAAGGCTTTAGAGTTATAGAGGACAGGCTGAAATTCCTGGCGCTTAAAGTCTCTAAATGAAATGAAATTTATGCCCTGGCGCTGAACCTTGCATGGGTAGCCGTATATGGCAGTTTTGTTGAATATGTCCATATTGGGTTTCAAGGTCTAAGTTGATGAGGACGACTGGCTAGGTCTCAGATCTCATTATAGTCGATTGTGAGCCACCATGTGGTTGCTGGGAATTGAACTCAAGACCTTTGGAAGAGCAGGCAGGGCTCTTAAGCACTGAGCCATCTCTCCAGCCTCCTTAATGCCTCTACTACTATCTTATCCCCTAGTCTGCCAAAATCTTAAAAGGCAGAACATTTCCAGCGACTTGCAACTTCAAAGAGAAACCCTTATCATTTGATCTTTATGATGCTTTTATCATTATTAGACTCTTGTCTTTCACAGAAATATAGTAATGATGCTCCAAGCTGTCTACCCCAGCCTATTCACATGTGTTAGCGGAATAACAATGACATGATGTTTAACATTATGTTATTTTACTATTTCTGTTTTCCTCTCCCAAGGTTGAAATGGTGATTTAAAGATCTGAGCCCAAATTTCAAAACACATCTTTCTCATCCTTTTCATTCTATTATTCATCCCAAGCATATCTATCTATATACTACTGGCTCCTAGGAGAGCAAAAACTGGATTTAACGTTAAAATATTTCTTCCACATCTAGGACACTGAAGCTAAGTAAGGAGCAATACATATTAAAAAAAATCTAAATAGCATCAGAATTAATTTTGTGAATTATTTGCTTAATGGAAATATGCAAAATGGACTTTCTTTTCTGTAATTCACTTCTTTTGAAAAGGCCTCAACATTTATGATGAAAAATTTACTATAATTCTTTATGATAAATCCTGCCTCTCTCTCTCTCTGTGTGTGTGTGTATGTATGTATGTGTATATGTGCGTATATATACTTTTTTGTTTTTCCAGACAGGGTTTCTCAATGTAGCCCTGGCTGGCCTGGAACTCACACACCAGACCTGCCTTGAACTCAGAGATCTGCCTTCTTCTGCCTCCCGATTGCTAGGATTAAAGGTGTACACTACTATTGCCTAGTTATAAATGTATTATATGTAGGAAATCAAGAAGAAAAGGTACAGTAGTAAGAACTGGGCAAAAATGTCAAGATAAAACAGTATTTCTCTGTAATGTTTTCCCGTGGTCTCGCTGACCAGGCTGGCCTCGTGCATGCAATCCTCTTGCTTTGGCCTCTCATGTACTGCGATTACAGGTGTTTGTCACCAAACTTTAAATGTAAATACAACTTATGAACAATTAGCAAACTGGCTTATTTTTCATTTTAAGCTTCACTTACTTAGTCTTTAGATCTAAATTATGTCTTCAGAATAATATAAATTTTAAAAGCTACAACAATTACCCATACAAAACCCAAAAGAGTCTTTGTTAATGCCCATATTCTAATCTTTTTGAGTATCTTTTTTCTTTGTGTGTGGGTGAGTGTGTGTGTTTGTATGTGTGTGTGTGTGTGTGTGTGTGCAAGCTTGGTGACATTGGATATTGTGAAAGGAAAGTAAATTCCTACAAAAAAGCTCTCTCTGTGTGTGTGTGTGTGTGTGTAAAGGCTGATGAACTGATTAAGACCCTAGATAGCCCAAACAATCCTGAGCAAAAAGAACAATTTGGAAAGGCTTACCATTCAAACTTCAATATATATTACAGAACCACAGTAATAAAATTAAAAACGATAACTTTTTTTAAAAAAAGGCACCAACTTAAAATGATAACTTAAAAAAAGAAAAAAGACCTAAATATGAGACATAACTATGGCCTTCTAATATTAGACAAAGATGTTAGTAACATACACTGGAGAAAAAACAGTATCTTCAGCAAAGAATACTGTGAAAACTAAATATTCACATGCAGAAAAATGAAATCACCAAACAGATCAAAGACCTAAGTGTGAAACCTAAATGTGAAAAAGGGTGATGGTGGTTGGGACTGTAATTAGAAGTGGGGAGGGAGGTCAATGCAGAAGGAGAGGAAGGAGGGTAAAATAACATGGATATCTGAAAAAGTCATAAGGAATCATATTATTATCTATTTACCTGAAATTACATACAACACATGTAAGTCTGTGTATACTTATACAGTTTAAATGAAATCTATCTACCTGGGCCGACAATGCTTCCCCCAAGACCCAGAGACCATCTAACAAAACCCCCAACACTAGGTATGAGATTCCCTTTTGAGTTGTTGGTCAGGGTTGTCTAAGAGACTCCTCCCAAATGACAGGCTATTGCTGTTACTTATAGTTGCCTCCCAGAGCTGGAAGGTAAGTCCTTACTGTTGAAGATACCATGTATTTCAGACACGTGACCAAGAGGACCCAAACTCAATCTGTCCTGAAAGCCCCCTCCCTAAGGACTAGCTTTCATGATACCAGAAGTCACCATGCAAGCTTCCAAGAAAGGGAAGCGACTCACAGTACTACCTAGCTACAATGTTATTAACTACAATGACCAGCATGTCTTCAGACAAAGACTTACATTGTCTTCTGCAATGTAAGTCAGAGGGTCCAGGCTACATCTGAGCAGAGGTCTCTGAAGAGAACTCCTTCAGGCTGCAGAGCAGGCATCTTGGAATTGCATCTTGCCATCCTGGTGACTAGGTCACCTACAGTACTTCTTTACTTATGTATATACATGTACATATATAGAGCAGGATAAAAAACTTAGAGAATTGAATGGCAGTATATTTTAAGCTATATATACTTCTTTTTGTCATTAAGCACTGAAACACAGATTATTTTAAAATTGGCAACGTTATATGACATGGTGATACAAAGTTTCCAGATCATTTCAGAAATCCTCTGGAATGTGCCAACTGCTAGGAGTATCTTAGTGACTCATCCTGAGCCCCAAGACAGTTCCAAGATACCAGTCAACAAATAGTAGCTTAGTTTCTTCTGTCTTCAACTGCCAGTGTCCCTTTCTCAAACATTAGGCCTCGATAAGCAGTTTAGAAGGCAGCTGGGCAGTGAGGTAAATCAACATCTGGTTATCCAGCAATCTACTCCAATTAATCAAGTGTTGTAAATCTAAGTCAACAACAAGAATAAAGGTAAATCCCTTTGAGTTGTTTGGACCTTTTTAAATACAACAGTCTCAAGAATTTATACCAGTTGAAGTTTTATTAAATCTCTATAAATTAAAGCTTCGGGAAACATTAGCTGTTTAAAAAAAACATGACCACACTGAGTGTTTTACACTTGATCTTGGCTATAAGGTTAACCAGTGCTATATTGTTCTGTATGTTGTTCATTCTCTTCTTCACTTAGAATGTAAAATAGGTAGACACTAGTAAAATCTTGGTGTGATAACAATTCTGCTTCAAATTCGGATCATCCATACTATAATATATATATATTTACCATTACTGATATAAAGACTCCTGTATTTTCCTTCAATCTACACATCTATTAAGTCAATATTTCTTAATCATCTGTTATTTGAAAATGCTAACTTTTAGCTGGGTGGTGGTGGTGCACGCCTTTAATCCCAGCACTCGGGAGGCCGGGAGGCCGAGGCAGGAGAATCTCGGATCTCTGTGAGTTCAGGACCAGCCTGGTCTACAAGACCTAGTTCCAGGACAGGCTCCAAAGGTACAGAAAAACCCTGTCTCGAAAAGCCAGAAAAAAAAAGGAAAGAAAGAAAGGAAGAAAGAAGAAAGAAAAAGCTTACTTTTTTTTACTCTGAGAAATTAAGCAAATAAGCAGTTTCTTTTTAAAAATGGAAGCTAAGGCTAATTTACAGTTACTAGGTTAAACTACATTACAAAAACTAGGGCCACAAGTTCAAATAAGTATACCGTACACAAAAGTAATGAAAATAAGTGTCCCAAGCGCGACTCAATAAAAAGTACTGAGGGCTGTGTCAAGACGTCACCCCATGGTAGTATGTTCTGAGCATAATTTTTCCTCTGGAAGTCAAAAGTCTTCCTTGGAACATGCTTGGAACAGCAGAAATCCTGACAAAATATCCTCTTTAAAAGCATCTTAACACCACGGCACTCTATAGGAGTCTGATGAAAGCGAATTAATTGAAAGTAGCCATTTTTGCTTTAATTCATCAGAATCATCTCAAGTGAAAAACGCTCACTTCTCCGTAAGGCACTGCAGCCCGATATACGATCCTCTCATTCCTTTGGACTTCTAGGGCAAATCTTTTAGGATAAAAAATAAACAATGCTTATTATTTCTGTAAGAGAAATTCGCTTTCTGTCTTCCCACAAAGCTCCTTCCCAACTCGTATCCGAGACAACGCCTCTGTACCAAAGGCGCAGGAGGAGGGGGAGAAAGTGAAAAGGGGCCTTGGCACGCCCGCCCGCCAGGAGCTCTGCAAGCAGCAGAATCGTCCTGGGTTCCCCAAGACCCCATCCTCTGGAGCAACCGGGCCAGGCCCGAAATGTCCCGATGGGAAATCGGTGCTGCTGCCCAGGGGGTCGGGAGCAAGAAGGCGACGAAGGCTTTGCCTGGCCTCTGCTGCTGGGATGCCGGTGGGAGAGAATGCCCGGCAGGACCGCTCGGACCGCACCGAACCCGGTTCCCCATCCCACAGAGGCCTCCAGCGACCCACCTGTGCCTGGAAGTCGGCGCTCAGGACCCGCGGCGCCTAAAGAAGTAGCCCTGCCCAGCGCCGGCAGGAGGCGGCGGCGGCCAGAAAGGGCCCCGCCCCTTCTCTAGGCCCGCCCCTCCCATCGCTCCGCCCCGGCTCCGGAGTGCCAAGGGTCCCGGATGTGCCTCCCGTCGGCGCTCCGAGGCCCCGCCCCTTCTCCCGCCGGGCGGAGAGCGCTCTACGGATGCTGAGAGGCCGAGGCGGCGGAGGAGGAGTTTCGACGTCTCCCGGGTGGCTAGAGCGTCTCTCCGCGCGTTCGTCGCGCGGCAGGTGACGGCGCCCGGAGGCTGTCGGGAAGTAGGCGGGGTGACGTGGGGTGGACGCTCGGCGGCGGGTTTTGCTGAGGTCCGCGGCCGGTGGCAGCCTGGTGCTTGGGGGCTTCGGAGTGAGCGCGCGGTGGAAGTGGGGCGGCGTGTGGTCGGGGCCATGACGAGCAATGCCGGGGAGTGGTGTCTTATGGAAAGCGACCCCGGGGTCTTCACCGAGCTCATTAAAGGATTCGGTGAGCACCAAGGGGACCGTCCTGGGCCAGGGGTTCCGGGAGGAGGCCCACGGTGGGCCAGGTGGTCACCTGCCGCCCCCCTCCCCCGACGCCCGGCGTCGGAGAAGTGACTTGAGGGACTGGAGTCGGCGTGCGTGGAAAGTAGGGCTGCCCGGGGCAGCCGCGTCTCCGCCGTGATCTTGGGAGCCGCACCACGAGGGAGGGCGAGGATCCCCTCTGCCTTGGCCACGGCTGTCTTCTCCGGACTTGGGACTCGACTTGAATTGACTCTAGCGCCTTCCTTCCCTGTCTCCCTCCCTCATCATCTCCTGCGCGCTTTCTCTTGTCCTTTCCACTGTCCCTTGCCCGCGCGCCGAGCCTCCCTGTCCCCGGTGGGGGTCAGGTGCATCGCTCGGGCCGTCGGGGTGCGGAGCTGCCGCTCTAGGGCGTGCATTTTCCAGGGTGGTGTCTGAGGCCCCAGCCGCCCAGGAACTCGAGATTCTAGTTTCTCAAAGCAGAACTGTCACCTTTCGCGTGTGGGCACCTCTTCCGGACCTCCACGGATGCCGACTCCGCGGGCCTGCACGCTGCGTCCCCGGTTCTTTTGCTCCCTCCTTTTTGGCTTCCGGTGAAGTGAGTTTTCTCGAGGTAGTGCTCTCTCGCCTAGAGGCCACATGCTTACCTCTGAATTTCTTTCCGACTCTATTTCCTTCCGTACTTGTCAACCAATAGGACATTTTATCCTTATGTTCCCAGCCTCTTTGGGCTCCCCCCCCCATTTTAATTTTTTTTCCTCAAGTATTGTTTTTAACTGTGTTGTTAAAATTTGTACCGGAGATAGAGCAAACGTTAATGTAGATCTTGTCTGTTGTACATGGCTGAATATTTGGATTACCTAGCATATGTTCAACTATACCTCCGTCATACAGTTAAGGATTGGGAAATTTTAATGAGAATAATTGAATTGCTGCTGGGAAGAACTGAGAACTAAAACTATATTGTTTCTACATTGAGAGTAGACAGAAAGTGTTTTAAGCATATAGAGCATGCAAGAGCCAAGCAAAAGTAAGCATAATCTGAGTGTAGTTTATGGAACAGCTAGCCAAGTCACTAAACTATGGTGTAATGAATGTAATGAAGAGTATAGATCTTGGGTGAAAAGGTAAAGTCATGCCATATTATATATCATATTGTATACATTGGGTTGCCCTGTAGTCACCAGGGACTTAACTTCAAAAAAATTTGAGTGAAGGTCAAAAATACTAAAATAAATGTAGTTTGTGATTAAGATGGATTATGCCTACAGTATTCAGAGTTATGAAAGAATGAGATGAGAGAATCTTCTTGAAAATGGTAAGTTTGTGGGTGAATGATTGGCTTGACATGAAGTCATGGGCTACAGAGGAAGTAGAGTTGGTATTTGCGTAATTATTTCAGTTTCAAGTTGCATGTGGAAATACCTTCTCCTCATTCTCTGGAGCAGGAATACACCCAGAACATGCTACATTAAAAAAAGGAGTTCACAGGGCTGCCAGCCTTACAGTAGAGGTTGAGCAGTAGTATATTTCTCCTACACAAGCAAAAAATAATTAACAGGACTAATGGTTTACCGAATGCAGGAAAGAAGAAACAAAGTGACTTCAATTTTAGCCTGAGTTGCTAATAAAGTGGAGATAGAATAGGCTTGATAGGAAAGAAAATTCGGTCCGTTTTGATCCTCTACTGAATTTGAACTGTTTGCAGGTTTAGTGTTAAATTTTACCCTCAGAATCTTTTCAAGATAGGGTTTCTCTGTGTGACAGCCCTAGCTCTCCTGGAACTAGCTCTGTAGACCATGCTGGCCTCGAATTCACAGAGATTCCCCTTGCTTCTGCCTCCCGAGTGCTAGGTTTAAAAGCAAGCGCCACCACTTCCCAGCTACCTTCTGAATCTTAACTTCCTTTAAAAAGTTGACTTTAGATAGTGGCCCAAATTAGTTTATTTTTAAATTAAAGCATGCAGTCTAGGGCTGGTGATAAAACAAGTGACCAAAAAACAGCTTGCTGCCCAAGCCAGATCACTTGAGTTCCATCTCCAGAAACGATGGTAGAAGAAACTCACCCCTCCCAAAGTTGTTCTTGGAATGCCACACACACACACATTGTGGCACAGGCACATTAGTACTCTCTCACACACATACATGATAACAAGAAATTAATATGGTCCACAGCCAGCTGTTGTTTTCAGTTTCACATATACAGAAACCTTGGCATTTGAAAATAATTTAGGTAAAGTTAGACATTTGAATAATAATGTGGAATGTGTTTGTACATATTAAAAATAAAGCAATAGTTATTAGTGGATTGACTGCTAATGTAGAAAAACTTTACAAAAAGTTAAATGAAGGTAGTTTATATCATCGACTGCTTCAAAGGAATAAAACCAACTTTATTCCAATTATTTCCATCTTTTTTCCTGCACAGCTCTTATATTTACAGTAGGGTTTGGAAGTTCCTTCTTTTGAAAGTGAGACGCCTGTTTGTATTATGAATACTACTACTACAGGCTTCTTTGAAATGAACTCACTAACACTGACTAGACTAGTATCTACTCTGTACATGCTTTTAGCTCACTGTTTTGAAATGAACTCACTAACACTGACTAGACTAGTATCTACTCTGTACATACTTTTAGCTCACTGTTTTGAAATGAACTCACTAACACTGACTAGACTAGTATCTACTCTGTACATACTTTTAGCTCACTGTTTTGGTCCAGGTGTAGCAAGGTACAGAGGTCTTTGCCAGGAGAGAGATCTGGAGTAATTTCCTCATCTGTATCTACTGACCTGTGCCTTAAATACAGATGTAAATTACTTGGGTCCAGTGTGGTGTTTCCTTGAGATTACGTCTTCTGTGATCACATCGAAGGTATATTTTACTTTATTCTGAGGAAAGAGACAAGTTAATACTTGGCTTTCATACAAGAAATGTAGTTTGGGGAGGTTCATAAGCATTGCTTATATTATTTGGGATCCCCCAAACAGGACTGATTATTTAAAGGGTATCAGTCTCCGATTTAGGGCTCTTACTTAAGTTCAGATTGTATAGTCCTTTTTTTTTTTTTGAAAGGTTGCTTATTCATATCATCAGCCATGTGGTATATGTGTATACATACATGAAGACAATGATCATATATACCATAGATTAACTGAGAGTGGGGTTGAGGAAAACTTACCAGAGTGTTTTTTGTGGGGTGTGTAGAAGTTGGAGTCATCCCTACTGCTTTTGGTAGACTGGGTGATGTTAAGAAAATGAAAAATTGTTTTGAAGCCATCTGTTAGAAGATAGCAGTTGTTTAAGGAAATAGCAGCATTTTGGAAGAATACCACCAAATTAGTTTTTATAGGGAAGGGTGCTATGTGTGTATTTAAGAAAATTATTGTTCTCTTTGGTTTGGCGAATCATCCTGATAGCCATACTCTTAGTTTGTAATACATAAGTTTATTAAGTATGTAGCAAGCTAAAGTAAAAAATATGTAGCAAAAGATGGAAAGATAAAGCATCAAATCGGGATTGTAGAGATGGTGCAGTGATTAAGAACATGTATGCTTATAACTGCTTGTAACTCCAGCTCTGGGGGATTCTTCCGGGTCCCAAGGACACCTGAACTCATGCATATGCACACATAGAATTAAACAATTAAAAAATAAACACTTAGGAAAAAGCATCATCCTAGGCTGTAGAGTTAAATTGACTGAACAGTTAAGAGCACCAATCGCTCTTCAGAGGACCTGGATTTGATTCCTAGCACCCACATGGCGGCTCATGATACTGTAGCTCCAGTCCCAGGAGATTTGACCTCTGTTAGTGCCAGGTGCACACATAAATACATGCAGGCAAAATACATAAAATAATAAATCTTAAAAAAACCGAAACCAAAGCATCCTCAAGCCTGAAAACACTCAGCAGAAATCCACTGGAGAAGTCCCTTTGAGGTAGGTGACTGGGCAGAACAGATTGTCCCCTCCAGTGAGGCTTCCAGGGAAAGAAAAAAATCACAGCCTTCACAACATCCAGCAGAGACTAATGGGGGAAGTTGAGGCCAATTTAATGACTTTTGCTAAGTACCTGTAATTTACTGATTGTTCGTTTACTTTGACTTGCTATATATTTAATAAAATCACTCATTAAAAACCAAAAGTATGACTACTGTAAATCATTTTTTTCTTGGCCAGGCATGGGAGGCTTATGCTGGAGAATCACAAATTCAAGGTCAACATAAGTTGGTTAAGGAAACTCTAAGGGAGGTGGGGAGAAAAATGAGAATATTTTTGAAATTAGATTTGCTGTTTTGTCAGGTTGTGGTGGCACACGCCTTTAGTTCCAGCACTCAGGAGACAGAAGCAGGCAGATCTCTGTGAGTTTAAGGCCAGCCTGGTCTACAGAGTTAGTTCCAGGACAGCTAGGGCTGTTACACAGAGAAACCCTGTCTCAAATAAACAAATAAACAAACAAATAAATAGTCTATGGCCATACCACCCTGAATGTGCCTGATCTTGTAAGCTAAGCAGGGTCGGGCCTGGTTAGTACTTGGATGGCAGAGCACCTGGGAATACCGGGTGCTGTAGACTTTAATAAAATAAATAAATAAATGGAGTTTTATGCTTCTATAAAAACCACCTGTGTCAATATGTTAGTGCATAAATTTTAAAATATTTTAGAATTATTTTAATTTTAGAACCTCTAGAACAGTATTCTGGTTTGGATGACAGATTATATGATCATTTGGTCTAGAATTTAGTTCAATTACTCATGAAAATGTTCTCATAGACATCAGTAGTAATGAATGATCTGTCCAACCCCGAGCTTGTAGACTGTGTCCTGTGTGTCCCTTCATATCTAACATATGCATCCTGTACTGTCTTTAATTTGTATGTCTTTATTGGATCATAAGGCTTAATAAGTGTTGCAGTGGTTTATTAATGTCTGTCCATGACAGGGCCTTTTACTTGTACCTGGCACACAAAACGTATTTGATAAATACTAGTACTTCATTAACTACAAAAGTTCTTCCCGTGTGTGTGTGTGTGTGTGTGTGTGTGTGTGTGTGTGTGTGTGTGTGTATAGTACACATGTGTTTTTGGAGGCTTGAGGTTTCTTCAATTTCTCTCCACTTGAGTTTTTTGAGATAGGTTCTCTCATTGAACCTAGATCTTAACTGTTAACTAGGCCAGCTGTTCAATAAGCTCCAAAAATCTGCATGTCTCTTGCCACTCTCATGCCTCTCAAGGGTTAGGGTTATGGTAGCCTGCTGTCTTTGACTTTTTTTGTGGGAACTGGGAATCCAAATTAAGGCTCTTCTGCCTGTTTGCAGGGACTACAGTGCTTGATTATTCCCAACTTTTTATTTAATAAAGAGTAGGAGAGTTAAGTTCTTTGTGTTTGGTATTGTTTTCCTCCCTTTGTGTGTAACAGGAATACCTTTTTTAAATTTTGCTTTAGACAAAACAGGTACTGGCTTTGATTTGTATATGTACATGAGAAAAGTAAAGCTCAGATTTTTTTTTCTTTTAAGTTTGAACTTCAAGACAGCCAGGTGTGGTAGCTCAGACCCTTAATTCAGCACTTGAGAGAATGAAACAAGATACATGAGGTGATAGGCATTTGTGTTTTGGTTCTGTGCTAGGGATTGAGTGGAGGAACTCTACCATTGAACTAGAGAACATTGCAGTTTTCTAGGAGGCCTGAAGGCTTCTTCACTACTCCCTTGAAAATAATCAGGATAATCAGGGGTATTAGATTTCCAGACAACTGCAAGCAAATGTGGGTTTTAGTTAGTAAAAGCTCTGGTGAATTTAGGCTGTCAACTTAGTATCTTGAATACTCTTCTGTGAGTCATATATACGCTATAGGTATTAGAGAATCCATCTGAAATAGTTTGCACACAAGAGACATTGGTAGGCATAGTCATTTTTATGTGTTGTGATACTAGCTAACATCGAGTGGCCTTCAGTGTTAGGCACTGTATTAAGTATGTTTTCTTTTATTTGTGCCTCACAACAGCCGTATGAGAATGAGGATATAGAGACAAAATGGTCATGCATAGTAAATGGTTGAGTCATGATTCAAATTTAGCAGTTGGGGCTGAGAGTTTACCACATGACTACTATGGTTCTTCGAGAATAAGGCTTCTTAATTGGGGATGACACTATTAGGTAATTCTGGAGGCCTCATTACATTGCCCAGGCTGGCCTTGAACTCTTGTATTTAAATTATACTGTGTTAGCTGTCTTTGACTTTTTTGTTAGCTCCGAGTACCGGGAACTTTAGATGTATTATCTCACCCAGCCAGATGATTTGTGTCCTGTATAATGTTTATCATTCTGTCTTCCTACTAGAGATCAGTGATAAACATCTGTACTCTCCAGGCTAGTGACAATAAAAAAATATATAGACATTGCTATATATTCCCAGGGGAGCGAAATCACTGCAGTTGGAAATGGTGGTCTAGATGATTGTACTTGGGTTAGGAAAAGAGGCTAGTAGAAAATTCATACATAGAATGTATCGAAAGTAAAGATCAAAAGTCACAGTTGT